TATTTCTTGCTTCACATTACTTATGTCTGGGAAAATGAAACACTTTTTTTTTTTTTTTTTACTTTACAACAGCCCTCCTTCACCACACCAAAGTTAGGATCTACTATTCAAGCAGATCTCCCAGGTTTGTCCCTATTAGGCACTATTTTGTTTGTTTCCAATTACTTCTCATGTAGGAAATGGCCTCCTGTTCTCTGAGAATGTACAAGAGTCAATTCCGTGTTTCTTTTAGGTTCTTTATGGAAAACACATGGAGGAAGAGAAGGAAGCCACACTCACCTTCTTTCCCTCTATAACCATGTAAATGCATCCTGCCACCGTCATGGCGATCATTAGATAGCTTATCTTCACCCGCATCTTGTTCTTTGCAGCATCGAGCATCTCAAACCTAACACAATGGAATCATGAGAGAAAGTTACTAGCTTCTCTTTCCAAGGTAACCAGCAAGATACAAAGCTCTGTGTACCACAAGTCGGAAGTGAAGTAGGATCTCTAAATATAAAAAGTGGTGGGGCCTGGAGATTTTGCAGGACCTTGGCTTGGGAAGGATGGGGTATTAAATATTCCATATTAAATATAAAATATAGTAAGACAGCACAAATTTAAAGTAAGAAAAAGAGCAGGAAGAAGACGTGTAAAGATAGAAAGGGTAGCCAGGAACAAGGCCAAAAACAAACCAAAACAAAAGCAAGGCATATTAATCTGCACATGCTATGGTGGGCTCTGATTTTGACTCTAAGGTATCTAGCGGCCAATACTAAAAGGGAACCCTGGCTGGTACATAGTTTGTAACATTCTGAGAAAACCAGCACCGACTTCTGCCTGCGGTTATCAGGAAGATGATGTTGTATGACATAAGGATTGTGTGAAAAATAGAACAAATACTGCAATAACCTTAACAATTTTCAACACAAAGCCAAATCCGAAAGAAAACACACACGGGACAGGGTTCAACCCTTTGCTCTACATCTATATGTCCAGCTTTCTCCTCTCTATCTTGAACCAGGAGTAGTTTTTAGAATATCTAATACAGTAGAAAGGAGCTCTGGTGGCACAGTGCTGAAGCATTTGACTGCTAACCAGAAGGCTGGCAGTTCAAACCCATGAGCTGCTCCGTGGAAGGAAGATGGGGCAATCTACTTCCATAAGGATTTACTGCCTTGGAAACCCAATGGGGGTCGCTATGAGTCAGAACTGACTCGACAGCAGTGGGGTTTGTTTTTGGTACAGCAGAAAAATTCTTTAAGCAATTCTCCCTTGATATTTTTCTTGTAACTAATAATTTGTTAAAACTGAGTGACAGTGAACTTGAAATCATGCTCTTTGGGAAGTGCTTTGAGTGTTATTCTTCCTAACTGTCCACTGGCTACAGACCCGAGTGCCTTAAGAGAAAGTTGAGGGTTGGATTATCATTCTTGTGTGAAAGCTGAGAGGCCTAACCAAGAAGACCCTAAAGGGAAAGCTTTTCCACCTTGGTGATGCTGCAGGCTGAAAGGCCACTTCCCTAGGTCATGGTTCTATTACCTGGGTGTTTCAGGTAGATGCCTCAAGGCAGGGCATATGGAGTCTCAATAGGGCCCAGGCTAGAGAACTTCTGGCCTACTCCAAAATGATTACCTCTAGATAAAAGGACAGCAGTGTTTCATTTTCTTTGTATTTTCCAGATTTTAACACATGCTGCTTTTGAAACTGGGTGGGAAGGGGGTGGTGCAGAGGGAGGAGGACCTGTGACATTGTGGATGGGGATAGGAAGAGGACCCTGACAGCATATAAGAGCTGGGACCCAGTGAGACAGCAGTGTGGATAGAGCAGGCACTGAAGCTGGACCTGCAGGGTGGCAGGAACCAGGGATAACTAACTGATAAGGCACTGTTGTTGTTGTTACTTGCCAATGAGTCGGAGCCAACTCGTAGCAACCCCTCCTTGGGTTTTCGAGGCAGTATCACTACTGAAGTAGATTGCCCAACCTTCCTTCCGAGGAGTGGCTGGTGGGTTTGAACCTCCAGCCTTCTGGTTAGCAGTCAAGTGCCTTAGGCACTCTGCTACCAGAGCTCCCTGTAAGTCACTGGTTTGCTCAATTGGGAGCATCTGAGATCCTCCCCCAAACACAAACTAACTGCTCACATTGATAATATTTTATGTGAATTGCATTTCTAATTGAAGCACTGTGATCCTCATGAAAAGTGATATATTTTCCATTTGAGAGAACATTAAGAAAGTAAAATGCATTTACATGAAGTAATGAGGTCACTCTCCAGCCTTGCGGGAGCAATAAGAATGGGCAAGTTAAGCAGAACTGTTCAGAACTACTAGCAGGAGAACAAAGAGCTGCCATCAAGTGGATTCTGACTCATGGCGACCCCATGTGTTATAGGGTGGAACTGCTCCTTAGGGTTTTCTTGGGTGTAAATTTTTTTAGAAAACGAGATGGCTCCCTCCTTTGGATGATTTGTGTGTCTGAATGAATCAGGAAGTCTCCCCTTAGACTGTATCCTTTTGTATGTAATGATGGAGACGATGTGCCCTGTATGCATTACTGTGGATTTCTCTCCACCCTCACTGCCAATCAAATAATCACTCCTTTAAAACAGAGGGAATGATTTAGCAGTTTAAGTGTTGGCGTTGAAACATAGGCTTGGTGGCATCTTTCAGTTTCATCAGGATTAACTGTCTCCTCCTGGGAATATCATAACCAGTGGAGTCCTTATGCTACTACAGAAGAGCTATCTTCGTAGGAAATCCTAATCTTGGAAGCCGCATTTTCTGAGATTATTGAAAATGCAAAGCATTCCTTCTTAATGTGGCTTTACTATGAAAACTCAAACAAAAAAGCCAAACTCACTGTCGTCGAGTTGGATCCGACTTACAGCGACCCCTCCTTAGGTTTCCAAGGCGGTATCACTACAGAAGTAGATTGCCCAACCTTCCTTCTGAGGAGTCCCTGGTGGGTTTGAACTGTCAGCCTTCTGGTTAGCAGTCAAATGTCTTAGGCAATATGCCACCAGAGCTTCCACTGTAAAAACTAAGAACCTAAAATTCTGACCTTAGTTATACCTGGTTTTAGAATTTTTAATTGTTGTTGCTTGGTGCCACTGCATCAACGCCACCCCACAGTGACCCGTGTGACAGAGTAGAACTGAGCTACAGGGCTTCCTGCCCCAACCCTGGTTTTCCAAGTCCGATAGAATATAGATACAGGTCATGGAAGAAGGAAATGGGTGGTAAAGTTAAGTTTAAGAATTCTTTTCAGAAGTTGTATGCCCTTGGGCAGGAGGAGACTTACTGGTGGAGTGGGATGCACCTAGTTATACCTATCAGCAGAACTAAAAGAGCTTTGTACCACTTGCCCAAGCAGCACAGAGGCCAGGCCTAGAAGCCAAGAGCCAGAGAGGTGAGTCTGAGGGCACAGCAGATGGGAGACGGTCCTGATCAAAGAACTGTATCCTGAGTACATTCCTGAACCTGAATTGTAACTTGTAACCTAATAAAACCCATAATCATGGAAAAACAAAAACAAAAAAAGTTCTTTTCAGGATGTATCTTCTATAGGAAAATTGTACACTTTTGTTCCTCCTGAGGCTTACACTTTTTATGGACATATGAAGGAAGCACAGAGATGTACGTCAACACATGAACAAAGAATTAGGCTTTTTATTTTGCAGGGTAAAGGGGTCCCTGGGAGTCCTTGGGTGGTCCAAATGGTTAAGCACTAGACTACTAACCAAAAGTTTGGTGTTTCAAACCTGCCCAGAGATGCCTCGGAAAAAAGACCCAGTTTACTTCTGAAAGATCACTTGCTTGTAATGTTTATGGAAGCTGATCTCGGGCCTTTCTTCCATGGTGCTACCTCCAGTCTTTTGGTCAGTAGTCAAGTGCAAACCATTTGTGCCACCTAAGGACCTTTAAAAAAGATCAGTGAGATGTAAAAGCTGCCGATAATCCTAAGCACAGCACTCACGAGATAGTCTCGGGGATTTCATCTTCCTTTTTGAAGCGACCTGACCATATCAGGATCTTCTTCTCCCAATCCGTAGGTTTGTGTAATGGCACCCTGTGGCTGTAAGAGTCTATGAGAAAAACCACATAAGAAATCTTAATTTTTCTGAGATTATGACCCTCAAATTCAGCAACAGAAAAATGCTGTTTGTGCTGTTTAGCTATTCACTAAATGGAAATACCAAGAAACTTCAAGCTAACTAAGCTTTCTTTGAATAGAATTTCTTAGAATGTCTTCTTTCTTAAATGACAATCCAAAACCTCATGAAGATAGAGGTAATATAAAAGCATTATTTCCCAATAGAAGCCATAGTCAATCAAAGCTGAAAGAACACCATAAACAAAGATAGGAAGGCAAGATGAGCTCAGAAGGGAGCAGTGAAGAGTTTGGCTGGCTTTAGTAGAGTGAAAAAGATTATAAAAGACCCTGAATGCCAGATGAAGGAATGTGTACATAATTTGGGAACTATTGTACATTTTGAATTGAGGGAGAAGTTAATGTCTTAGAAGATTAATTTGCACAATGGAAGAAGGGATATGAAGCTTGGGGTAGAGTGGATAAGTCCAAATAGAAGGTAGTAAAATAAGGCTGAGGTGATATGGTCTGCCCCAGAGTTCCCACAATGGAAAGAAATGAAGAAGTCAATTGAGGATGACCAGAAGAATTTGGGGACTGATTAAGTGAAGAAGAAAGAATAATGGAGAATCTCAAACTTGGATGACTAGAATAATGGCTTCAATGTTGACCAAAAGAAGAAAGCTATGCACAGAATGAGTTAGGAAAGGAAAGAACCCAAGTATCATTTTAGGTTTGTTGAGCGTGAAGGGAATTTATGTCATCTGAATGGTTTATTTGGTTTCAACAGTAAGGGATGACAAAGGGAGAGTTGGTGAGAGTGATCAAGTAGAGCAGGAGGCCAAGGGCTGAGCCTCAGGGCATGACCAAAGAAAGGGGACCACAGGTGGAGGCAGCAGAGGAAAATGCAGTAGCCAAAGAGGCAGAATAAGCAAAGTACAGAACCACAGTGCTATAGATTGAACTGTGCCACCTCAAAAGAGAAGTTGAAGTCCTAACCTCTGTATCTGTGAATGTGATCTGTTTGTAAATAGGATCTTTGAAGATGCTCTCAGTTAGATTAACATGAACTCATAATGAAGTAGGGTCAGTCCTAATTCTATATGACTGGTGTCCTAGAAAAGAGGTGAAGATACACAGAGGAAGGATATCAGATAATGTTACAACTGCAAGTAAAAGAATTCCTGGAGCTACCAGAAGCTAGGAGAGAGACAGGGAACAGATTCTCCCTCAGAGCTTCAGAAGGAACCAACATGGCTGACACCCTGATCTTGGACTCCCAGACTCCAGAATGATGAAGTAATAAATTTCTGTTCTTATAAGCTACCTTATTTGTGGTATTTTGTTAGCAGCCCTGGGAAACTGATACATACAGAATATAAGAGAGTTTTTGAAAGATAGTGGAAGTCATTGAAGAAAAGGGGTAGAATAGATTAGAGAATCAGAACACTAGGGTTGAAGGAACCTTGGGGGTATTTCCATCCTCTGCCTTCATCTCTCTTGCAGACAGTTTATCGTCTCAATTGTGAGACTATCTCATGTTCATCCCACCTCCATACCTTTGCTTATGCTCCTCCTTTCACCTAATCAGAAGAGAACAGCAAAAGGAACAGAAAAGTCAGTAAGGATAAATACAGAGAGAACCAATGACAAGAAAAGAAGTTTAGAAGTGTAAAAATAGTGCCACTGTAGTTTTATCCCTTAGCCCATCGAGTGCTTGGCACAGTTCTCCCTATAGTTTTTTTTTTCAGTCTTTCCAGGCATTTTAAAGTAATATATACCCAGTAAAGAAAATTCAGAATATATGGATGTCAAAGAAGAAAAAATAAAAATAATCCTATTGTCAGAGATAACTATATTTTTATTTTGGTATGTTTCTTAAGTCTATCTCCACAAGCATGAATGCATTATGTATTTGTGTGTAATTTATGTATGTGTATCATGTTTGTGCTTACATGCAAGAAGAAATCTTATATCCTGCTTTGTTCATTAACATTTTCCATGCTAGTATATGGCTTTTTAAAGCACCATTTCCAATAGTTGCATAATATCCATCAAGGTGATCTAACATAATTAATCATTCCCTGATTATTTGACATTTACATTTATAGGTATGCATCACTTAACATACATGACAAATTCTGTGAAATAAGACATTGTGATTTGGATGTTGTGCAAACACCACTAAAACCTTGCAAGAGCCCACTTCTGTTCATTCTCATTGCCGGTGCTGCTGGTGCTGGAGCTGCTGGAGACAGGAGCTGAGGCAGCAGCAGAAGTGCAGCAAGAGGAAGTGAGCAAGGAGAAGAGTGTGCCCCGCCCCACCTACTGTTCAACCTGCCTGCCCACAAGACAAAGCCAGAGAGCCTGTGCTCAGAGCCATGTCTTCTGCCTCACCTGCCTGTATCCCACCCATGGTCCACAACAGTCTGGGATTGGGGTCTTTAAAACTATTACAGGAAAATAATAAACAAAAGGAAAGCTGCTTTCCCTTAAAAAGAAAAAAAAAAAGTATGAGACCACGGACATATATGTAGTTGGACATTATCCAAACAGACATTACATGACACATACTTGTATTTCTGATTTTCTCATTTTACATAAATAATGAATGTATCTTTAAACTCAGATTTTTTTCATATCTAGAATTATTTCTTAGGATAGATCTCCAAAATGCAATGCCAGGTCAAAGAGCATGAACATTTTTAACTTCTTAATAAGCACTCTTTGGAGGTGGTTCCTCTCTATTTGTAAGACCTGCCTGGTCCAAACGTGCTCCTATGAAGAAGCACTGGGGCAAACAGTACCTGGGACCCTACAGTTTCTACATTATGCCTCTTCTTCCCGTAGCAGTGACAGTCATAAAGTCAAGGGTAAGATTGGAGATAGCGAACATCAGTGTCCAAGCCAGAGCTTAGCCCTGGTTATATTTTACTCAAACATCAAATCTTGCTTTGATTCATTTTTGGAGACCCTTAAAAGATAATTTATAGGCCCCTGTTTACTTTGAGGCATCTATGTTTCTACAAAAACCAGTCCAACCCTTGAAGGAAGAGTGATGAAAATGACAAATGAGGAAAATGAAATCACTGCTACACATGAAAGCATAGGCAATAGTACCAATTTTGGGGCCTGACCTGAATGATAGGATATGATATGGGAGCCCCTACGACTATCTCTCTTTTGGGTGATTCCAGGATGTCCTATTCTTTGGAAGCTGTCTCATTCATAATTGGAAAAATAAATCAAGACTTACGAGATGGAGCTTTTGGACTTTCCTGTGGTTTGGTGCAAAATCCATTTATTCTCTTCAAATCAGTATTTCTGGTGAGCCTTAGAGATGAGGAAACATCTCTTTCACATAACCTAAAAAAACTTCCTAGAAAAGAGAATCAGAGAAAGAAAATATAATGTTTTCTCAAAATAAGAAATGCCTGCAGATTATGTTCTGCAGTGACACTGCCTTGGAAACCCAAGGACGGGTTGCTATGAGTCGAATCCGACTCAATGGCAGCAAGTTTGTTTTTTTTGTAGGTTATGTATTTCATGTATAAAAAGTAACTCATTTTAAAATAAATATACTATATATATAAAGTACTTACACTATATTTAAGGTGCTATACTTGATGCTCTGATGGCACAGGGCCTAAGGCATTCTGCTAACCAAAAGGTTGGTGGTTCAAATCCACCAACTGCTCTGTGAAAGGAAGATGGGGCAACTTACTTTACTTCTGTAAAGATTTACCTTCTTGGAAACCCAATAGGGGTTGCTATGAGTTCAAATCAACTCAATGGCAGTGTTTGATTATTATTATTTTATGCTTGATGCTATTTTAAAATATACAGTTTATTTAAAAAAAAAAAAAAAACCCACAAAACCAAACTCACTGCCATCGAGTATGATCCGACTCATAGTGACCCCTCCTTGGGTTTCCAAGGCGGTATCACTATGGAAGTAGATTGCCCAACCTTCCTTCCGAGGAGTGGCTGGTGGGTTTCAACCGCTAGCCTTCTGGTTAACAGTCAAATGCTTTAGGCACTATGCCACCAGAGCTCCCATTCAGCTGATTGTTGTTGTTGTTGTTGTTATGTGCCGTCGAGTCAGCCCCAACTCATAGCGACCCCTCCTTGGGTTTCCGAGGCAGTATCACTACGGAAGTAGGATTGCCCAACCTTCCTTCCGAGGAGT